AAAAAAAAAAAAAAAAACCTCAATGCCACAAAAACATGATAAATATGAAACAAACATGTGTATCAATCATAAAAGATGAACCAAAATACTTTATCGCTAAAATAACAACAAACCCTAACATACTTGCATTATTGATATTCTTCCACCATCACCACTTTTCTTTTACGTTATGGAATTAAAAGCTTATGTATAATAATCATATTTTGTTCTTACCTTTTCAAGAGAAGAAAGGATGGACCGAGAGAGAGGAGCAGAGCGACAGAGATGACCAATGCCGGCGAGAGAGGAGAGGAAACGATCGATTAAAATTATGATTTTTTTTTTTTAATTATAAAGTTGGTAACAAAATAGAAAAAGGCTATTATGGTCATTTAGCATCTAAAAGTATTTTAGGTATTCAATTATTATTTTTACCTTTATTTAATAAAAGAGTTACTTGAAAAAAAAAACATTTAGAAAAAGGTCTTTTAAATAATAAGAGGTTTTGACCATCCTCTTTTTTTTTTTTTGGTACAGGGACCTTTCGGTTTCCGGATCCATAGGGGAACCGACTAATCCGGAATCGAGCTGGGTAGGACCACAAGGGCGACAAAGCTCTCCCTCAAGAGTTTTTAACACTGCTGCATTCCCAGCGCTCGAACACGAGACCACTAGTTAAGCTGGAAGAGCCACACCATCTCATCCAAACGTTCTTGGGTTTTGACCATCCTATTTAAACTAACTCCCCCGTCTTCATATCTTTGCACATTTTTTTAGATAGAATTAAAAACTTTAAAATATTCCGGACTTTCACCACCTTCTAATCTTTTTCTGTTCTGTTTTTAAATATTTTTGACTGAATTATCCCGAAAATTGATGAGAAAGGACAAAAGGCGTGTCCGTGCTTTTTTCTTTTTCTTAATAATTAAATACAGGCGCGACCTTTTTTTTCTTGTACATATACCTTCCGGTTTCCGAATCCACAGAAGAACCGACTAATCCGGAATCGAGCCGGATACATGCGCAACCTTTTTACCACAAATCCGAGTAAGTTGCCATTTTTCAAAGTAGGATGTGATTGCATTGGCCAACCATTTACAGAGAAGGATCTCATGTCTGATGAGAGAAAACCCCATTAGCTCCATTATCTTGTTAAAATCTAAAAGCTGTTCAAATCAAGAGATTACCTTTTGAATTGGTAAAGATACAACCTTTTTAGTTTTTCAAGTCAAGAAATCATCTTTTGAAATTCAACATTCTTTAGTTTTTTACATTTTTTTTTTCTAGTCATTATCCACAAATTATCGAACAAATGGAGTTTTCACAACGCCACCTAACATTCCACCTTTTCTTTGTCTTCGTTCCGATTTCTTCACCAAGATTCTCGCTTTGATTTGTGTGTCGAGATGTTTTCTATTTGGGTTGTCCTCTTCTGGGGTTGGATGGTCTATTTATATGAAACCCGTAAGAGCAGAGTGCAGTGTTAGCTGCAATTATGGGGTTTAAGGTTTTTTCAGTGGTTTTCATAGTGTGTGTTGTGTGTGTCTTGGTCGAGTGTAAGTACATGGTTTACAACACTTCTCATGGTACCGTGCCTGGAAAAATCAATGTCCATTTGGTTTCTCATACTCATGACGATGTTGGCTGGTTGAAGACAGTCGATCAGTACTATGTTGGCTCCAATAATTCCATTCAGGTAAAACTCTGCCCTTTTTTGTTATTTTTCTTATGAGAGATGCTACAATACTGTTGCGGAACTATTCCGTCGGGATCGGTTACCAACCCCGATGGAACTCCCTTTTCTTCTTAAGTCTATCACGATTGGGTCGTGCTGAGTTTATTTCAAGCTACGCTCCTCTTCAATGTATGATTACAGTAGGTTCAGTCATGATCATCAACCTGTTAGCCCAATTGTCTCAATAATCAACTGATGTTGTTCTTACCTTCTTTCTGCTTTATTATTATTCTTAATTCTTTTTGGAAATTGCAATGCAATTGTGAATTTTGTCGAAGTTGCTACATCTCTTATTGATTTGAAGCTACATTTTCTGATGGATTTACTTGTATACAGAGCTTTGTAAGTTCAAAGTACTTATCTGTATATGTGTAGGGCGCATGTGTGCAAAATGTGTTGGACTCATTAATTCCAGCATTGCTGGCGGATAAAAACCGGAAATTTATTTATGTCGAGCAGGTGATATTTTCCTATCTTATGTACTGGTTTATTTGATTTTGGCAACTAAAATGAAAAGCACGCTGATTAATTACATGAATGCCTTTTGCATTTGCGGTTAGGCTTTTTTCCAGCGGTGGTGGAGAAACCAGAGTGACGACATGAAGAAGAAAGTCCGAATGCTCGTGAAATCGGGTCAACTCGAGTTCATGTACTAATTTATTTTACAGTCAATGTTAAAAAAAATATATATGAATAGTGTTGCAATGTGTATGGATGCTCGAATATATATGTTAGCCAATTTGTCTTGCGGTTGATAGTTTTCTCTTGTTGGTGATTTTATTTTTGGTTTTCTCTCTTGATTTTTTTTTTCTTATGCAGAAATGGTGGTATGTGCATGCACGATGAGGCAACAACACATTACATTGACATGATAGATCAAACAACACTCGGCCATCGATTTATTAAACAGGAGTTTGATGCAATTCCGAGAATCGGTTGGCAAATTGATCCTTTTGGACATTCTGCTGTTCAGGCATACCTTCTTGGCTCGGAGGTTCTCGTTTTCCATATTCTTGTCTAGGCCTTCTAAAATATCTAGTTGCCAAATATTTTTAACTCTCAGTATTATCACAAAAAAAAAAAAAAAAAATCCTTACTTGATATATACTGTATAGATTACAACAACTAAGAGGAATTCATGATTTTAGGTTGGATTTGATGCTCTATACTTTGCTCGTATTGACTACCAAGATAGGGCCAAAAGGAAAGATGAGAAGAAGCTGGAGGTTGTATGGCAAGGCTCCAAAAGTCTTGGTTCTTCCTCTCAGGTCAATGTCCAATCCCTACAATTTTGTTTTTCAGTATTACATCCACTATTTATTTATCTACTACTTATCATGATTTCATTATTTGTGTTTTCTCATATACTATTCAGTTTCTGTTGTCTAGAATATGATGTGAGGAATGTTGCTTCAGATCTTTACAGGAGCTTTTAAAACCCATTACAGCCCTCCCGATGGTTTTTATTTTGAAGTCAATGATGACTCCCCTGTAGTCCAGGTAATAATTGAAAAGAAAAAAAAGAAAGAAAGAAAACAATGTCACTTATGCTGCATTTGAATTGAAAGATATGGTGAGGATAAAAAGTTGTGGAAAATTATGATGTATTCAATTTGAAATTTTTGATATTTTTAAAAAGTCTACAAGTATTCAATTGATACTTGTAAAGATATTTTGTAAATCTCTAAAAGTCTCGAGGTATTAAATTAAAATTTTTCGAATAGGCTCTATAAGTTACCTGATATTCAAAGTATGAAGACTCTGTGAGACTTTTAAGTTAGAGGACTTTTAAGGTTCTAGTAGAAATCTCATTGTGACACTCTTGAAAGGCGTATTTCTATAGAGTGTAATGTACACAATTATATATATTAACACTTCCATACTCTATTATCATATTCTTTTATCCATAACCTGTAATTTATTTTTTCATCATGTGTCACATATAATTTTGACAATTAAATTAATTATCTTCACTTTAATTTAAAAATATAAGTTTAAGATGAATATGTTAATTTAATCATATAGATTAATCATTATTTAGATAGTTGTCATTATATAAGCATAAATAGCAAAATGTTTTTTGTGTGATATAATTTGGCTATTATTTTGAATGTAATCATAAAATTGGTAGATCATTCCTTGATCTCATATGTATGAACAAGAAATTTTCTTCATTGTTTCATTTGACCAAACCTGTAGAAATTGTTTGTTGGTTTGCGACTTTAGGAATACTGATAAAAACTTGTAGAAAATTCTGAAAAAAAATTACCATTTTTTCTTAGATTTCAGAAAAACGAATGTAAAATTTTCGAATTAAATAATATTTAATATCATATTTTTTAATTGTATGTGTCACGTATAATTTTGACAATTGAATTAATTACCTACATTCAAATTTTAAAACATAAGTTTAAGCTGAAGAATATAGATAATTTAAACATATAAATTAATTTCTATTTAGACAGTTGTCATTGTATAAGTATAAAAAGCAAAATATTTTTTCTGATATAATTTGGTTAATATTTGGAATCTAATTATAAAATTGATAGATCAGTTCTTGATCTCATATCTATCAACAAGAAATATTCTTCATTTTTAGCCACAACCTTACTTGACCAACCTATAGAAATAGTATGTTGGATTACGACTTTAGGAATACTGATTATAACTTGCAGGAAATTCCGACAGAAAAATTACCACTTTTTATTTAATTATGTTTAATATCTCATTATATATTTCATTAAATCAATGTTTTTATTTTTTTATTTATTTATTTTTTTTTATTTTAATCTTGCATGGTCTTAATTGTGTCTTAGCTATTAACTTATTAACTATAATTGACGTTTTATTTTGTTCATTATCATCAATTGATACTTAATTAAGATGATGTGGTTACAAATGTGGTCAAGTTTTTGAATCTAGGATGAGGTTGCAATGAAGGTATATGAGTGTGTTGCTAGTTTCACCCGAACCGGTAAAAACGAATATGCTGCCTTCCCAGATTTATACAATCTAAGATCATTAAAAAAGTGCTTTGTGTCAGTATTCTCGTTGTCATGTAACGTACATTTATCAATAACTAATCTCAAACTTCTCAATAATTTTAGTGTTACTCAAATATATGGATATATTTGGACTATTGTATTCGGCGATACTTTTTTTTTTATTCATGCTTTCCAAGTACATGGTAATACGATATATGATCCTGGCAAAATGTACTTCTTTCGACGCCTTACATTTTTTTTAAAAATCTCCAGACATCGCATAAGATTGCATAAGAGTATGTACTCCAAAATATTTTCATATTGGTTTGAGCACAATATACCATTAATATTGTATGTATCTTGTTGTATGTATCCTATTAACTCATTTAGCTCCTTTCCGAAGTAACTGCTTCATTCTTTGTTCAAATTTTGTCAGTCGTTTTTATATTTGTTTTACTTAAAAAAAATGCAAGTTCCATTATATGCAGTTCTCAAATCTTTGAAAAACTTGGTCTTCTATACATGATTCAGGAGTAGATTTTTCATAATACTTCCAATTTCATGCTAAAATTAAAAATAATTCTTCATGTTGCATTTTAAAACTCTTTTCTTCATCGATCATGTTTTATTAAGTGCTATAATATGTCATTTCTTTATAAATGATTTATTAATTTACTTTTACCATAATTTTTAAATATATCTTTATATTTATTGTGACATTATATGTTGATAGTATATATATGTTGTTAGGGAATACCTACTGATTTTTTATTTTATTTCAGAGTTGCAAACTTGAACTTTCAATCCATTCTCATACTTCTATAAATTGAGTATTATCCTACTAATGTGTTCTCACATCGCAAAATGCACGTGGAGAATAATTTTGTATTATCCATTCAACATGCAAGCATACTTCTACTTGAAGTTTCTCCATATGGCCCCGTGTATCATATATCTCACAATTAACTCAAAGTTAAAGAGTCCCAGATAGTTTTGTCAATTAGGAATATCAACATAAGCACAACTATCAAATTAAACATAATATAAGTTTTATACTTGCACTTCATAATGTGTGATCTTCATTAGATATTTTTATTGACAGTTTCCGAAATTCTATATGGAAGTAACCAACCGTATTATTAAAAAGAGTAAAATGCATTTTTAGTCATGTATGTTTCACTACCTTAACTTTTTCGTCCTCTTCGAATTGCATTTTTTATTTTTGTCCAGTATGTTTGCAAAAAAGTTACGAAAAGATCCTCTTCATACATGAGGGACGGAATTGAAACTTTTTTTTGCATAACATAATGGACCTTTTTGTTGCAAAAAGGACATTTTTGTAACTTTTTTACAAACATACGGGACGAAAATTAAAAACGCAATTTGAAATGGACGAAAAAGTTAGGGTAGTGAATCATACAGGACTAAAATTGCATTTTACTCTATTAAAAATCTATATGATTTTTGGAACATTGTATGGACTATTTTCTTATACTCTTCAAGTAATGATTGAACTTTTTAAAATCTTGGTTATATTATAAACCTCATTTATTATGCTAAAATCGCCATTATATTGTATGAAAGTGTGTAACATAGAGTGATTTCACATATGTTACCGATCAATACACCAGTAAGATTGTAGTAGTACTCTCAGAAGGTGAAATATTTGAATAATAAAAACTATTTTGATTTGGATCAAACAATCCCTTTTATGTGTTACTTATTTGAAATACGTATATTATTGAAACATCTTGACCATCCGTCAAGATTTAAGAGCTTTTCTCATGATATCTTTTACCCTCATTCTATTTACAATATTTATGTGCTCAATAAATTATCGTAATACTTCTTTTAATATTTAGCCTTATGTATCACACTTGCTACAAATATTCGCAACAGAGATATTTCTTGCTTCTTCAATTGTTCAACTTGTTAATTTGTATATATAATGAATTTGTTGGCATTGTACCGAAGCTTTTTCGTAAACAAATCATATAGATTTTAATAATACGGTTGGTTACTTTCATGTAGAAAAGGAGAGCACTGTCACATTAACTGCAGCTAATCAAACAATAAATTAAACAGTGCAAAATAAAATACATAAAATGTATCATAAATGTGATCAACTATACATAAAATATATCATAAATGTGATCAACTTTGTGTCTCTTCAAAATAATTGTCTCTAAGACATAGACACCAACATTTATATTGTACAATGCTGATATTTTCTACTTGTCTTGATTGAAGGATGATACCAGTTTATTTGATTACAATGTTGACGAGCGTGTGAATGATTTTGTAGCTGCTGCCTTGTCCATGGTACTTTTGTTTTACCTTAAAATGATTCTATTTTGTTGATAACGTTCTTGCTCTCCAATATGTATTCAACGCCTTCATTTTACTTATTTATTTATCTTTTTGTGCAGGCTAATGTTACTCGTTCGAATCATGTCATGTGGACCATGGGTGATGATTTCAAGTATCAATATGCAGAGACATGGTACAGGAATATGGACAAGCTCATACATTACGTAAACCAAGTTAGTGTTTTCTCACTCCAAGAACCATAAGCTATTGTTGGTAAATGCTCTTGTAGGGAATTTCCATTTTGATGATTAATGTGGTCGAAACTTCAAATTGTAGGATTTTTTGCTACTTTTTTTTTTTTTAGTTATCATTTTCTCTACCACGAGTCAATAACATTTTAGTGTCTTTATCCTTTTTTTTTGTGGTATCTGAGTTCTCAACATGCTTGTAGGATGGTCGGGTCAATGCCTTGTATTCGACTCCGTCTATATACACTGATGCCAAATACAAATCAAATGATTCTTGGCCTCTTAAAACTGATGACTTCTTCCCGTGAGTTTAAGATTTTATTGTTTTTGGTATAATCCAAAAAAAGCATATTTTTTTTTTATCTTGTTCTAATATTGCAGTTACTTGTGCATCAGATATGCGGACACTAAAAATGCGTACTGGACCGGCTATTTTACAAGCAGGCCAGCCATCAAGGGTTATGTCAGGATGATGAGTGGCTACTACTTGGTACGTCACAAAACTGTCTGTTATGTTGTCTGAATCTGAAATCTTACTGGGTCATGTACTTTGTTAGGCGGCTAGGCAATTAGAATTTTTCAGAGGAAGAAATAAAGCAGGGGGCCACACGACTGACTCCTTAGCTGATGCTTTAGCAATTGCACAGCATCATGATGCTGTAACTGGTACCGAAAAGCAACATGTTGCTAATGACTATGCAAAACGGCTTTCGAGAGGCTACAAGGAGGTTAAGTCTTTTTATTTTTGTTTCAAACAGTTAATCAATACTAATGTTGATTACTGATTGTTTTCTTGTAATTTACTTTCTTTTTATGTTTTTTCCCTCTTTTCTTCGTGAAATTTGTTCAGTCAGAGGATGTTGTGGCAGAATCCCTTGGCTGTTTGACGCAATCGCTGTCACCTTTGAAATGCAAAAGTCCTGTTACGAAATTCAGCCAGGCAAGACTTCGTGTACAAATACGTGGAATCATATAAGTACAATAAGTTAGCAAATCCACTTTTTAATTTCGAGTTTGCACATGTTTTTCTTGCTTCAGTCCTCACATTAGATCTGAAATCTTATCATCTTTGCAGTGCCCACTTCTCAATATAAGCTATTGTCCTGCAACAGAAGTTGATCTTTCTCATGGGCAAAGATTAGTAAGTATGTTAATTCGGCTGTATTATTATTCAAACCCAAGAGTATATTTACTGAGGACATGATGCTATGATTTTTATAGTAAAACCAAGAAGCTTTTAAAAAAAAAAAAGAAATCCTATTACATAAGAAATGATTTTTGACTTTTTCTTTTTCCTTCTTACAAATGATAATAATGTAAGTCATACGTAAACTCAATGACTGATTCTCTTTGTAAATTCAAAAAAATTTCTGAACTTAATGTTAATCACTCATGCGGGTTAATTTTCGTGATTATCCTCTAGTTTATTTTGAATATCTCATTGACTGTTTTCTGCAGGTAGTAATTGTCTACAACTCTCTGGGCTGGAACAGAACTGATGTAGTCAGAATTCCTGTGAGCACTTTGCATGTTCTTTCTTCTTAGTTACTGAGCCGAGTTCATTTGGATCACCTTATGCTGTTTTTTATCACTTAAACGTATTCTTATACCGCAGTATATGTCCTAGTAAAAAAAAAAATGGAGTGATAAAGGAAAAATAAAAGTGCAAATACATCAGTGGAGGTGTGGTGTATTACTTTATAAGCAGGTGGTACTACTTTCATCTTACTTGTGGTGTAACTTGATGCAGGTGATTCTGCAGGAAACAAGATTTTATCACAGCTTATTCCCATAGTAAAAGTGTCGATTTCCATAAGGAAATTCTATGGCACTGCATATACGGGTAGAAACTCTTCAACCGGCCCCATGTATTGGCTGGCATTCACGGCTGTTGTTCCTCCTTTGGGTTTTAGCACTTATGTGATCACTAGTGGCGGATGTAAGACATCATTTTTTTTTCTTCATAAACAGGTCATAATTTATTTTTTCTTAATTCTTTTACTTAGTATACGACCCGAATGGATTTACAGTTTGCCACTGTTGATTATGCAGCTTCTACTTTAATAAAACCGGTTTCGTTCACGTTTGATGAGAGTCAAAATGGTGATATACAAGTAGGGCCTGGCAGCTTGAAGCTTATATACTCTGGGATAGATGGAAAGCTCGCACAATATGTTAATAGCAAAAGCTCGGTACGATATTTAATAATTGGCCTGTGCTTGCACCCTTGATGTTTGTGAGTATGAAGATCTATCTTTTTACTTTTGTTCTGTTATTATTATTCTTATTATTATTATTATATTTTTATTTACTTATTTTTTTGTGGTGGTAACCGCAAGTTAGTTTTGTAAGTTCTTCCTTGTTAACTCGTCTTCTTTGTATCATGGAACATGTTATTTGAGTCACATGCTCAGGCTTTAGCCTTTTTCTGTTATATAACCTTTCAGTACTCCCTCTTTTCAAAAAAGTAAATAAAATTGTGAAGGTACATTATGTGATACTATTTTTATTTTATTTTATTTTATTTTTTGTGAAGGTAAACATTTCTGTAGAGCAATCGTTTATATATTATTCTGGGCATGATGGGAGTAATGGTACCACTCAGGTTGATGCTAATCCTTCCTTCACATTTCCTCTCAAGTTCTGATGGAGTTTGAACTGATAATTTTATTTATTTTCTTGTGTAGTCTTCTGGAGCATACATTTTTCGGCCAAATGGCACGTTTGGAATTGAGCCTGATAGAAAGGTCACTATAAACATTCTTATTAACACGCTCTTAGTTGATTTATTTTTTGATTATCAAACAATGACGAATTTTCTTATATTGCAGAATCCACTAACAGTTTTTAAAGGACCACTCTTTGATGAAGTACATGAGAGGATTAGTTCGTGGTTATATCAGGTTAGTATCTCCTTTTTCTTTTTGTTATTTTTCGCTTATGAGGTGATATAACGAGAAACTTGAGCCTTTGAACTAATAATAAGCCTCACTGAGCACATTTTTTTTAACCACACAGTTGAAATTTATGTGTGAAGACAGACTATTGAAACTCAGATGTGTGATGGCTTACTTAAGATATCTAATATATGAAACTGTACGAATAATTATGCAATTGAAATTTATGAGTTCTCTATAAAGAACACTGAGAGATGGGAAGTAAGTATCATTTTCCTTTTTCTTGATTCCTTTTTCTTTTCTGACAGTGAATTTTTTAAATATTTATCTATAGATTACAAGAGTTTTCAAAGACAAGGAACATGCTGAGGTTGAATTTACTGTAAGTCGGTTTGTTCCTTAACATGATTACATGTTATACATGTATTCAATCATAATCTTTGTCCGCTTAATCCATAAGGATGAAAAAGAATAAAATTAAAATTTCATGTCTCGGATTTTCCTAATTATTTCAAATTTCAGGTTGGCCCTATACCCATTGAAGATGGAGTTGGGAAAGAGATTGTAACTCAGATAAAAACAACTATAAAGAACAATAAAACATTTTATACAGACTCGAATGGCCGTGATTTTCTACAACGGGTATGTGGCATTGTACTTGGTTTGCTAAAGAGAATCCACTGGGCAGCGCATATCAAGACAATATGTGTGCCTTTTATTGGTTACTGAAGTTGGTACTATAATATATGCAACTGCCCTTATGTAATTTTCTTTATTTTGCATAGATTCGAGACTATAGAGCTGATTGGGATCTTCAAGTGAACCAACCAATAGCCGGAAATTACTACCCTGTAAGTTTTAATTATTGTTATTACATTGCATCTTTTTCCCGTCCATTTTCAACTGAAATGGTTATCATTTCATCTAGTACTTCAAGAATTGTTTAGGCGTCCCAAATAAAAAAAAAACGATATGTAGTTTGGAATCTGGAAAACCGAATTCTATCCTAAGTTGATTTTACGTGGTTATTTTTTCGTAGTATATTCGGGACATATTTGTTGGGGTTCATTTTTTTATTTGCTCCTTTTTCTTGATTTTGTTCTTTCAGATCAATCTTGGAATTTACATCAAAGACAAAAGTACAGAGCTATCTGTTTTGGTAGATAGATCGGTTGGAGGATCGAGTATTGCCGATGGTGGAGTAGAGATCATGCTCCACAGGTTATTATGTTCTATCTACATCATCTCTTTCTAAGTCTTGCTCTTCTTCTTTCTTCCTCTTCAGCCATCGCCTTGTTATAAGCTTGCTGTGGACACATTATTAGTTGTAAAGGTTAATTACAAAACATACCCTGAGTTTAGCAATATTATAAATAGAACCCAGTTCGTTCTCCCTCTCCCCAACAGTAATTAATAGCTTACAAAAGTGCATGCTCATTTAATGGGTATTTGAAACTTTGAAACACTCAGTGAGTACTCGTTTACTAACAAGACTGAACTCAGAAGTAGTGGTTGTACTTACTCATAATAAGGGCAAAGTACTGTAACTCAATGCATTATTTTGTAGGCGATTGCTTCATGATGATGGTAGAGGTGTTGGCGAGCATCTCAATGAAACAGTTTGTGTTCGTGATTCGTGTTTCGGTTTAGCAGTAAGAAAACTATCTACAGCGTTTATTGTGAACAAAATACTGGAAGTGATTTCAGGCTATAAATAATTCAAGACTCTCAGCTTCATCATTCTTGTTTTCCACCTATAGCCTGACAATGATTTTTTCAGTTAAATTGTTAGTTTGTTCACAGGTCAATGGGAAGTACTATCTGAGGTTGGATACAGGTGGAGAGGGTTCCAAGTGGCGTCGGTCGTTTGGACAGCAGATATATTCTCCATTATTATTGGCTTTCACTGTGGAGGTCACTCAGAGATTCTTGCTTTTGCTTTCATTGTACTTATTTTTTTTTGGATTGGTTAGAAGTTTTTATATCTCGATAATTCCATCATATGCCCACAGGATGACAGCCATACGAAATTCCCAGTCCCGAGTTTTTCGGCCATGGATCCTTCATATAGTCTACCTGATAACGTTGGAATAATAACACTTCAGGTAATTCTTTTGAAAGACCACAAATGCCTGATGAGTGAAAGTTCTATTTTTTTAGAGGAAAATGGTTATATATTTTGAGAACTTATTATTGTGAACTTTTCTGCTTCCATAGGAGCTTAAGGACGAATCTGTTCTCCTTCGGTTGGCACATCTTTACGAGGTTTCCAGTTCTTCATTTCACTCCATTTCATGTTATTTTATTACCGAATAATGACGAATTCCACCTTTAAGGTTTCGTCTAGTTATTTTCTGATTAACGGAAACACCCACTCGGGATGAGGGAGGCATTTGTAACAGAAGAGATAAAGCTTAAAACCTTTACAGCTTGTTTGGAATAACTTCAAGTGGTATTTGTACTTTGAAAAGACAACTAGAATATTTCGACAATTAGGCTGAATCTCAGGTTAATTTTGTAAATATTCCTTTTCGAAAATAATATCCAATGGTTTCTCTCTCTTTCTCTCTCTCTCTCTCTCTCCCTCTCTCTCTCTCTCTCTCTCTCTCTCTCTCTCTCTCTCTCTCTCTCTCTCTCTCTCTCTCTCTCTCTATCTCTATCCTTTATGATCTGATTTAGGTTGGAGAGAACAAGGACTTATCTGGCACAGCAACTGTAGAGCTGAAGAAAGTTTTCCGGAATAAGAAGGTAAAATAATAAGACTTCATGTGAAGGTTATTCGAATACAATTATGGACTAATTTCCTCACTGGTTTCCAATATCAGATCAAGAAAATCATGGAAATGAGTCTGTCTGCAAACCAAGAGAGAGAAGAAATGGAAAAGAAGAGGTTATCTTGGAAAGTCGAAAGCTCCAACGAGAAACAAGGCACCAATTTGAGACGGAGCCCTGTCGACCCTGAAAATTTGGTGGTCGAACTTGCTCCTATGGAAATTCGAACATTCATCATCATCTTCAGCTGAGCTGTCTTGTTCAAAGCACCATATAAATATTGAGGTAAAGCTGCTATAAAAATTTTCATTGTTAAATTACCCAACCCAAGAAATGTAGAAAAGAAGAGAGTAAGAAAAAGAAAAATGGAAACCGGTTAACTTTTAAGATCTCATAGACAAATTAACCACCCCATTATGAGCAAGAAAACATATCAACGGCAGTATTTTCTTTTCCCCAATTCTAACTTTTTTTTTAAGAACTCGAAGTAGCTGGTAACGAAAACCATGTCTTGTTGGGTTTGCATGTATCAATTTTTAGACGAGCTGCTTTCAACGTAATGTGTGCAATTTTGGATCGGAAGTTTACTCAATGAAGAGCTCAGAACTAATAGCCAGTCGTGTTATGAAGTCCAAATACTGAATAAATTGAGGGATCATCCGATAGTCCGAGATATGATAAGTTTCTACATCATGATTTGTGTGAATGACATTGATCTATACATGAAGGTTACATACGCTATGGACATGCATGCAGC